CTGCTGGAGCTGGAGCGCCGCGGGCAGTGCGACGAGAGCAACCTGCGGCTGCTGGGGCAACTCCTGCGAGTGCTGGCTCGTCATGACTTGCTGCCACACCTGGCGCGTAAGCGGCGTCGGCCAGGTATGGTTGAATGGGAGGGTGCAAGACTTTTGGTGGGGAGAGGGCCTTGCTTTCACTGGTCCCGCATGGTGCCTCTGTGGAGGGTGCCATTATCAGACAGTATATGTCCCATCTCACTCTTCTCTCCCATTAGGGTATCAATGAGAAACACAAGAGGGAGGTGACATGGCATTGGGAGGGGTGAGCTTGGGGAGTTTGGCCACATGAATAGTGATGTTTGTGACTACTCTTTATGGAGGGCTTATTTCATGCCGGGCACAGTGTTAAGTCCTTCTTCATATATACTGTCACCTTATATTCTCTTGGTAATCCTAAGAGGAAGTTCTGTCATTGTCCCCACTGTACAAGGAAACACAGCAGGTTCAGAGAAGTTAAGCAGCTTGCCTGAATATAAGGACTGAATCCTATGTGTAGAGGAATGGGGAACCGGGAAAAGGAGATACAAAGGGACTGGACTGACAAAGTTTTTTCTATGAGGCTTACATTTAGTGGGGGAATCAGACATTGAGACAGGTGAAAGATTTGTTTTTAGGTGTGGTTATAGAAAAACTGAAATAAAGTCATGGAACAAAGTCAGAGAGAGTAGGGAGTGGAGTGCTTCAGAGTGAAGGGAGGCCTTCTTAAGACTTGATAACCAGTTAAGACCTTTCCAAGAAGGTGACATTTTAACTGAGACTGCACTGCCTCTGCAGTGCATAGATCTAAGAGGAGAAAATTCCAGACAGAGAGAAGGGCAAGCTTTCAAACCCAGAGGCAGGAAGGAGTTTGGCGTTATCAGAGACAAGTGTGGTAGGAGCAGAGATCGAAATAAGTGCAAAGAGGTAGGTGAGAAGCCCTGTCACACAGGGGCTTACAGCTAGAAAGTGGTAGCTAGGATTCAGACCTTGCTGGTTTGTGTCCAAAATTGATGCCCTTAATCCTTGTGAGGGAAGTACTCCTAGAGGACAGCAGTCCTGAGAAGGTGAGGAGCTGGGAGGGTTTAAGACACAGGAGCCCCATGTGTGCACAGGCCTTAAGCTATTGAGCCCTTGGCTAGGTTACTGGAAGTGCTGTGGCTGGTTGGGTGAAAAGGTTTGTGAGCTTACCTGCAGAGGGTAAGCGCATGGGGTTTGGATAACAGGAGGAGGGCAGTCCTAGGGCAGAACTGAGAAAATTTTTGGAAAAATAGCCTGGAGATCAGGCTCTGAAGGAGATTTGGGGAGCCTGCAGAGGCCTGCTTACTCGTTGGGGTCTCAGGGAGAGCCAAGGACAGTTGACCGGAGGGCAGTGGGCAGCATTGCAGGGATCCTGACATTAACTCAGCTTACAATGTAACCCTGACAGTTTGAGCTGCTGTAGACATAGATTGGGTGGCCCCAGGAGGTGATGAGTCTTATCCCGGGAAGTACTGAGCAGCTACTGGGCATGAGGTGTTTAAGAGGGAGTGGGTATCTGGGCTTTGACTTCTAGGGAACTCAGGTACCCTGTGGGGGCAGGTGCTTCTCTCAGAGGGTGGAAATTAGAGCCTGGAGGCTGTGAATACTTCTTTGCTTTCTTTCCCCCAGTGTCTCCAGAACGCTACAACTATGGCACATCCAGCTCTTCAAAGAGGACGGAGGGCAGCTGCCGCCGCCGTCGGCGATCAAGCAGTTCTTCAAATGCCCGGCAGGGTCAGTGGGAGACAGGTGAGCCCAGCCCTGTGCACATGACAGCAGTGTCCCTCTCTTCCTTCTGAACCCCATCATGGCCCATCAAGGAAGGGGCCTGTTGGGTGATTTTGTCTCAGTTTTGTTTTGTGTGTGTGTGTTTATTATTGCTGCAAAAGCACGTGTCCAGAAACAACATATAGACTTGTTTCTCACCGTTTAATATTTCATCTAAATGGCATTATATAATGGGTATCATTCTTCACGTGGCTTTGTCGAACATGTTTCTGAGATTTATTCACGTTCAGTATCTCTAATTAGTTTCGTCTAATCGCCATGCCAATTAATTTATCCAGTCTCCTCTCCCCTAGTTTTTTAATCATTCAAATATGATTTCAAACATACAGAGAAGTTGAAAGATTAGAATAGTGAATATGCTCGTATCTTCCATCAAATTCAGTCATGTTAACATTTTGATAGTTTTGCTTTATGTGTATCTGTGTCATTCTGGGTTTTTTGTTGAACTGTTTGAAAGTAAATTATAGACATCAGAACACTTTACCCCTAAATTACCAAGCATCTCCTGAGAATAAGGAGATTGTCTGAATTTACTTCAAGACCATTGTCATACCTAAGAAAGGATATAAATGCTAATTCTTTGATGTCTTAATGGTCCATTTTCAGATCTCCTCGAAATTGTCTGCTCTTTCAGGATCCACTCATAGTTGTATTGCTGTGCATTTAGTTAGTAGTCTCCTTAACCTCTTATCATAGAACTGACTCCGCCACCTCCAGTACCTTTTTCTTTATTATCCCATGACATTGATCTGTTGATCCTACCAGGCCACTTGTTTTGTACAACGTCCTGATTATTTCCAGATATGTCTGATAATTTCCTGATGGTGTCATTTAACTTCTCCTCCTGTCCAGTATGTTTTGAAGCAATTGGGTTTGAAGAGTTGGTTAGATTCATGTTACATGTTTTTGGCAGGTGTGCTCCTTGGTTGATGCCATGGGCTTCACATTGGAGCACATCAGGAGGCACGTAAGGAATGGTTTTCCTGTTGTGAGCAAGTTTGGTCACTTGGTTATGGTGGTGTCTGCCATATTTAACCTTTGTATAGAGCCAGTTTCCCCTCTGCAGTTAGTAAATGATCTATAGGATGACATGTTGGCATGTTCTGTTCCCCAGCAGCATTCCCAGTGGGTTTAGCATCCATTGGTGATCCTGCCTGAACCAGTTATTACATTGGTATTTGCAAAATGGTGATTTTTCTAATTTATTTTTTTCTAATTTTTCTCTATGTCTGTTAGTTGGCATTCTTTCAAGAGGAGTTTTATTCTTCTCTCTCTCTCCTTCCCTCCCTCTCTTTATTTAGTGGAGAGAGGGGTATCACTGTGGACTCATGTATTTTTTATTTACTGTGTTATAATCAATTAATCATTCTTTCTGATACTCAAATTGGTTAGCTTCTCTGTCTTTTTGATGTGTCTCCATCATTCTTTGGGTGCTTCCTGCTTTGTAGGACTACAAAATGTCCTGTCCCTTCCCCAGCCCTGGAATCAACTGTTTCCAGAAGCCTGGTTTCTTTTAGAACCAGTGGTATTTGGAGACTGAGATCTAGGTGCTGAGTATGCACATTGTTTCTAGATGCTTTTAGTGAGCAGAGGTAGAAGCTGCTTTTTAAAAAAAGTTCATGTTAGTATTCTCAATTCAAAATTAATTTTACAAAGACTTTTTTTTAGTCTTACACTGAAAATCTTTGTTCTTGACAACATTGGGATATGGATTTATTTGTTTTATTTCACAAAAGTAATAAAACAGCTTCAAAATTACAATGTCGGTACCACTGCTGACTGTATCTACTGAATGAAACATAAGGTTCTTTGGTGGTTCTAATTCAGAGTATCTCCTTTTGAGAATTTACCATCAGAATGTTTTTCCTAGTTACTGGAAATCTTTTCTTTTCTTCTCGTTACCAGTTATATAAACAGATTAATTTGTTTCTATTTGTGTTCAATTTTACAGTTTTTTTGTCTCGTGTTCTGAGTATGCAAAACAGTTACATGATCCTGAATCAAAACTAAAGTATGTAAAAACGATGTTCTTAAAAGTATCATTTCCAGTCTTGTCTCCCTCCCCTACAATAGGTAATCAGTTTCGTTCATTTCTAATAAATCCTTGCTGTTTCATCTTGCAAAAAAAGCAAATATGTGTATATCTTTGTTTCCCCTCCTTTTTTAATACAAAACATAGCAAACAGTAGGTACTTGCTTTGCACCTTGCTTTATTTCACTAAGCAGTCTATCCTAGAAATTACTGTGTATCCTTTTTGTCAGACATTTACTTTGTTTTTGAGTTTACATGGTTATAAACTATAAAGGACGCTCCAGTGACGTTGTCCTGCCTGTTTCCTGGTATGAGTGTTCAGGGTTTCTCTAGGGTCACACCTGGGAGAGGGACTGACAGGTCGGGGGTTGTGCTCATCTGTGCTTCTAAATGATGCTACTAGGTAGATGTACTTACTTCTCATCTTATGGACAGGGCGATCAAGGCCCAGGAAGCATAGAGGCTCACCCATGGTCTCACAGCATGGAGTCCAACCTTGAGCTCTTCCTTGGGCATCCATGTTGGTGCTCCACCTGTCATCCTGGTCCTCAACCCATCCCACCTTTCTCTCCTCAGGTTCTCCCCCAACTAAGCGGCAGCGGCGGAGTCGAGGCCGTCCCAGTAGTGGTGCCAGACGGCGGCGGAGAGGGGGTCCAGTCAACCCCCAGCAGCAGCAGGAGTCAGCCAGGCCCACCTCAGAAGGCAAAGTGACTTGTGGTAGGTGTCTCTGTGTGCCCTGGGAAATGCATGGGCAATGCCCATGGCAGGCTGTAGAGCCGGAGGGTGGGAGAACCAGGCCCCTGTCTGGGGTGTGACACCTAATGGGTGGGCAGTGACTCTCTGTATCTGTTAAGCACAGTGGAATCCGTGTTCTTTTTATTGTCATTTTGTTCACATCCTGCCTGTAGTTGAAGTATTATGTTGTGTGCCGCATCCTCCAGGAAGCCTTCCTTGACAACCCCCTGCCCTCAGTTTCATTTATGGGTAGAAGAACCAGTCAAGGGCTGAGCAGCTGGACATGGCATGCCTTGGAGCAGATAGGAGTTGGATTTTATTCTGTGTGTCAATTACTGTGCAAGGGTTTCAGGCAGGGGAGTGAGGTGATCTGACACCTGTTTTTAAGGGATCTCTGATTCCATCTCATAAATCAGTTAATAAATGAGTTACAGTTTGCAGAGTGCTTAGAATGGTGCCAGGCATGTAGAACAGGTGCACTTGAAGGAAATTCAACAAATTGGAAGCAGGGAAATGAGTGAAGAGGCTGCTTAGTCCAATAAAGAGGAGGCAGAGGTCTGGCCTGGGGTAGTGGCATTGGAGAAAGGGTAAGAACGAGGTGGACTAAGGGAAACTAAGGAAACATTTTGGATATAGGTGACTTGACCTGCAGATAAGTTGATTTGGGCAGGCTGGGGGACTCTGCAGTGCAGACTCATGCAGACCTTGCCTTTGAGAAATTCCCCCTGGTCCTGAGGGGAGGACACAGGCATGGGTGGGCTCTGTCATACACATACACCTCCCCACATCCCTCTGGTACCCTCTTCTCTGAGATAGGCAAGCCGCAGTTTCACAGAAACTATCAACTGGTGAGATGCTCAGACTGGGGTGGGGGTAGGGGTAGAATTACAGATGGGAAGATGGACGTGGCGGCGGCAGCAGCAGCAGCAGCAGCAGCTCTGGTTCCCAGGAGACCTCAGCCTAGGGGTGCTTCCTCTACCATCTACAGAGCCTTCAGCCCACAAAGCGAGCATGCCTGCCCCTTCCCAGTGCCCATTATGCCCCCATCCCCAGGCTCTGATCCTCACATCCACTCCATAAATGTAGATGCAGATATCTGTGCTGGGTGCTGTCAGGAGGAACAGACCAATAGAGCCAGCCTGTGTGCTCAGACAGCCCCTACTTGAGGGGGTGGCTGTCTGGTCATGATTCTCACCCGAGTCAGACTATAATTACCAGAGCCGCCCACTGGCTAGGTGGCTCAGGGAGTCAGTCCTTCCCTGGGGAGCAGACCAAGCTGAGGCTGGAGAGAGGTCTTGCTAGTGGAAGCTTTAGGTCTCTTCTTGGTGGGTGGGGAGGTTGTTAACCTGGGTGTGGCTGGCTCTTGATGCAGGATCGGTGAGCAGGTCTGACTGCTGACTCACTAGGCAGGGTAGGGCTAGAGTGAGGCTCTCCCCAGTAGAGCCCTGCTTTTCCCCTCATAAGTAGATATGGCTTAGTCCCAGGGGGGTGGAAGGAGGCCCTTCCAGACCTGAGTAAGGAAGGGGCCTGCCATTGTTGCTCCTTTCCACCTGTAGCAGTTCTAGGGATTGACCCCAGTCAGCTGCCCACCACTGGATAGAACCAGACTAAACTCCTCTGAGGACCCAAGAGTGTGAAGAAGGGGCCATGGGGGGTCCTGGGCTCAGACACAGGACCTCTGAGTTTCCATGTCCCTCTCAGGGCCATCCACTGAGCACTGTGCTGGGTGTGCTGCTCACCTGACCTTAAATTCTCAAGACCACCCTTGAGATAGGGATGATGTCCCCCGTTGTGCAGAGTGGCGGGACTGGGCTGAAACTCGGGTTTGTTCACTTGGTTATTCTATGTATGTTTATAGAGCTTACTAAGTGCTGACCTCCCACAGCAGGAATTGGAGGCCCTTGTCCTCAGGGAGCTTGTGTTGGAGGAGAAAGTTAAGAGAAAGAGAAACTTCAGATGTCAGCAGTGAAGAGACAGGACGAGGGGTAGAGAATGATGGAAAATGCAGTTCCAGGTGTATTTTCAAGATAGATTGGTCTAGGAAGCCCTCTCAGAAGAGAGGAGGAGAGGGAGGAGTCTGTGGATGGCTGGGGAGGAGTGGTTCAGATAGAGGGGACAGCAGGAATGAAGGCCTGAGTGGGAACATGCCAATTGTTGGTGATAGGATTGCAAGGAAGCTGGCAGGGCTGGAGCGGTGGCAGTGGGGGAGGCTGTCAGGAGGAGAGGCCAGGAGAGATGACCAGGGGCCCATCCTGCAAAGCCTGTGAGCCACGGGTCAGGGCTTTGGATTTTTTAAATGATGGAAATCAGTCAGAGGATTTGGATGACAGGCTGAGTTTTTTTCCCCTTGATGTTTGCTATGGAGAAGAAACAGAAGCAGACAGACTACCATAATGATCCCTAGCTCCCTGTCACCCAACTTCAACAGTTGTAAAGTTGTGGCTGATCTCATTTCATCAGCCATATGTTTTGGAGTCAGTTCCAGGTGTCCTATTATTTCATCTGTAGATTTTTCACTGTGTATCTTTAGAAGATAAGAATTCTTAAAAAAAAAATTACACCCCAAAAATTAAGAAAAGCTTCTTACCTTCAACATTCTGCTCAGTGCTTAAATTTCCCATTCTAAAATAATAAATATTGGTTCTCTGAGTCTCTCCTGTAGGATTCCCCCACAACCTCTGATTTCTCTCCCCCACTCCCTTTGCACTGCGTTTGTTGAGAGTAGCTGTCCTGTAGTATTTCCCAAAAACCGGATTTTGCCAATTGCATTCTGTGGTAGGGTTGACTGAACGTGTTCCCCAGTCTGTATTTCCTGAAAATCAGTAGTTGGGCCTGGAGAGGCTTGGTCAGATTCTGGTATGATATTTTGTTTTTTTCAAGCTAACTTCCTAGGTAGTATTGTGCTCTTCCTTCAGTAAACAGGCAGAAGCAGCAGCCTCTCCTCATTGCCTCCATCCCATAGTTCAGTAGAGGTTTAAAACTTTACATTGACATCATGACTCTGGCTGGGCCTTGGGAAAGAGACTGGCGCAGGGGAGGGGTTTGGCTGTTGTCCAGAGGAAGGTGATGCAGCCTGGTGTGGCAGTCTCTCCTTTAGAGCTCGCTGGCTGTTTCTCTTTGCCTGGCATGGGAGCACAGGTCCTCTATATCCCCAGCCCTTCCTACTAATAACTCCCAGAGGGGAGACCTGAGAGAGATTCATTCCTGACCTCCAGCCACTCCCAGCACCAGGTCTGGCACACAAGGCTGCTCATCTGCTCACCTGGGTCTGTCCCTCATAGGTGTGTCCTCCCATTTCCCTCTGCAGCCCGCTGTGTCCCAGAAGAGACTGCTGAGGCATGGGGTAGAGGGACAAGAGGGTTCTGGGGTCCACCTGACTGCAGGAAACAGGAGCAGCTCTACTCTCTAGGAAGGCATGGCTCCACCCTCTGCCATGGGGGCAAGGAACATTTCCCCACAAGTGGAGAGGGACTGTTGACAAACGCTTGGTGTTCCTGGATGGAGGAAACCATTTGGCTGGGCCTCAGCCCAGGTCATATGGGTGCTGGGTACTGCGACCCTCACTATCATGCCTGGGCCAGTCCATTGACTTCTTTCCATGTCTACTGCTTCCATCCTGAACCAGCCGCCTTCAGTCTTTTCCTGTCTGCTACCCTGGCTCTTGCTGACCACCCTGCTGCTTCTGTAGAGCAACTGGAGTTGTCTCGGTGTCATGAGGCCACTTCCTTCCTGCTGCACTCAGAGGCTCATTACGGGCCAGGCGCCGGCTGCAGCCCTTTACCTGCATCCAGCCGTGTAATCCTAACAGTGACTGCCTGAGAGCAGTTGCTTGGGTGAGGTTATTTTATGGAGGAGGCCACTGAGGTGCAGAGAGGTGTGGTCTGCTCGGGAGGCCCAGACTCCCTGCCCTGGCCTGCCAGGGTGTGGTCAGCCCCACCCTTCCAGTTGTGTCCTTGTGCCCTTCTCCACCGTGGTCTGGCCCCCAGCTTGTGAGCACCTCAAGTTCATTTTCTGCCTCTGGACTTGCACACACTCCACACTCTTCTGGGAATGCTACTCTTCTCACTGTTGTCCTATCTTGACTGACTTGTCCTCCTTCACATTTCGCTTCCAATGTCATTTCCTGGAGAGATCCTCTCTGATCGTTTAGATCTAAATTACAACTCACTCTTTATGATTTTCTCACCTGACCCTTGGGATGTCTTCTAATTACAGACTTCTGTGTGTGGTTGTATGAGAAGCAGCAAACAGGATAAGGGTAGTTAAGAGCTTGGGCTCAGGGGCCAGGCATCTCAGTTGGAATTCCAGCTCTGTGATTTCCTGCCTGTGGACAGGTAACTCATCTCTTGTGCCTTAGTTTCCGCATCTGCAAAAAGGGGATTATAGCACTGCCTCATAAGGTTGCAGGTATAATCAAAAAGGTCAGTAGATGTGAAATGTGCATAGGTAGTGCAGTAAGTACTGTACAAGTGTTGCCTGTCATTAAGTTATTTTGGCGAATAGTGAGGAGAGATGGTGTATGATGTCCGTGATTCAGATCCAGGGATGGAGCAGTGGCTTGGATAATGCACATCTTCCCTTTTCCTAAGTGGTGCTTCCCTGTCCTCCCCTTTTGTGTGCTGTTGTTTTGTGTTCCAGACCAGAGTTGGACCATTTCTTCAGCTGTAAATGGAATAATGAAAGTGCTGTGAGGACTCGGGGGTTAAGTTAGGGAAAGCACCTGGGTGGGGTGTGGCCCACACGAAGTTCCCCTTGACTGGGCTTACATGTCTCCCAGTCCGGCTTGCAGCAGGGCGCTCATGTCTCCCCAGCATTCCTGGCACTTAGTAAATATCGGGTGAATGAAGAATGAATGGGACACACATGAATCCACCCTGGCCCTGTCCTTCCACCCCCACCATGGTTGGTGGGCTCCGGGTGAATATACAGTCTCCACTGCAGGTCTGGTAGCAGTCTGTGCTGAGGAGGAAGGCAGTCTGGGAGGAGACTCACCTGGGCGGGCTGGGAGTGCCGTGAGCTGGGCCTTGGTGGGTGAGTGGGCATTCTGGGCAGAGGAGGTGGACAGGTGGTTTTGTGAGTAAGTAAGGCTTATACTGGGAGCACTTCCCTTGTGGCGGAGGGCAGGGTATGTAGCTGGGATTGAAGGAGGAGATGAGGGAGGAGGTTGGCTCGGGACCCAGATGAGAGAGCGCAAGGCCTAGGCAGGGGCCTTGAGGGTAGAGTGGTGAGTGTTGAAATCACAGTTCCTATTTCTGGGTGCCTTCTGTGTCTAGGCCCTGTGTCATGTACTTCACAAGTTGTCTAATCCTCATGACCCCATCGTGCAGCAGGGACCTCTTGTTTGTCTGTTTATGTTTTTCAGATGGGGAAACTGAGGCTCAGAGAGGTGAGGTCACATGCCCAAGGCCCCACAGCTAGAGAGTGGCAGAGCTGGGACTCGCCTCAAGGTCTGTCGGACTCCGCCACCTGGCTCTGTGCCTCTGCCACTGAGCAGCCCCGTGTGGCCTTGGACAGGTGCTGCTTCTCCCAGTCCCCTGCTCCCTGGCCCATGCCTGTTGAGGACATGGTTAGACACTCATAGGAGTCAAGGTCAACCCAGAGGTCTTACATAGTCCTTAGGATGGAGGGAGCCAGGCCTGAGTGCCGTGGGAAGTCCTTGGGCCGAGGCCAGGAAGGTTTCCCTGGGACTTAAGCAGAGAGGGTGAGGTTCTGCTAAAGGCAGAAAGAGGAAGGGTTTGGGGTTTGGGGTGGGAGGAGGAAGTGGTCGATGCTGAGAAGTCGCCTGGGGAAGCAGAGACCTGCCTTACACTTTCTGCTCTGCTGCTGACATGGTCTGTGAAAGGTGAAGGGAGTCCAGGGCATGATACTTCCCCTTCCAAAGCTTCAGTTACTTCATCTGTCAAGTGGGTTGAATGTGGCCCCAGCCCCATAGAGCTGATCCTGCTGAATCTCCAAGGGTAAAGCTTTTGGCACATCAGAGCTGTTGGCTACTGTTCATGGAGTACCCATTGGTCACCATTTGTAGTGCTAGCCAGTTCCTTTCTATCTATTGTTCTCTCTTTAATCATCTGAACAGCTGTTCCCAGTAGGGGTTGTCCCCTGGTTTAGATAGGAACCTGGGCTCAGAGAAGTGCTGGCTTGTCCCAGGTCACACAGCCAGTGCCTGAAGGGTCCTGGGTTGGAATCGGTTCCATAGACCTAAAGCTGCTCTCTAGGGCATGGGAGAATCAGTGACCTTTGGCAGACACTGCCACTGCCTGGCCACGTGAACTTAGGCAAATCACTTCACTTCCCTTTGCGTCCATTTTTTCATCTCTAAATTGGGGTGATAATAGGGCCTGCCTCACAGGGTTGTTTGTGGATTAAATGAATTCATGTCAATCTACTGCTTATAGTCATTTCTAGCTTATAGCTGATCCTCAGGACAGCCTATGTTGTGAGTGGAGAGGAGGTTCTGTTAGCCCGGTTCACAGGTGGGAATTCAGTAATCCCACAGGGAGGTAATATGCCTGAGGTCACATTTACATGGATGCCTTGGAAGTTCCAAGTCCTATCCCCTGCACACAGCTGCCGCCTCATTTGGGTGGATGTGGGCAGGGTGTGACAGAAACTCAAACTCAGACTGGCTTAAGCAAGAAGGAAGTTGATTATAGCTGAAAATCCAGGTGCTTCAGGCATATGCAGTGAACTCAAGGGTCTTTTCGTCTCTAACCTTAGCCTTGTGTAGGTTTCATTCTCTCACCTCCTGGTGGCAAAATGGCCCCCAGCAGCTCTGGGCTTACAGCCCACCTTTTTGGCAGCCCCGGTGGAAAGAGAGCTCCTGCTTCTGGTAGAGCCAGCCCATTTCCAGTCTTGAATCTCCTGGGCCTGGTGCTTGCTTGATGGGTGGGGGGCTGGGGAGGTGGTTGGCCCTACATGAATGTCACTGTTTGAGGGTGGGAGATGGGTGAGTGAGGCTGGTTACCTAAAAGCAAGTCCCATCTCTCATGCATTGGTTCTTTGACAAATGTCTATCAAGTACCTCCTTTGTACCATGGGGCTATACAAGTGAACAAAACAGACAAAAATTCCTTTCTTCAGGGAGCTCACACTGGGAGGAGACAGATGATAAGCCTGACAGTAAAGGAAAGCTCAGAGTAGATTAGGCAATAAGGTCCTTGGGAAGAAATGGAGCAAAGTGTGGGGAACTGGGAATTCTGGGCACTGGGTAGGATAGTCTCATTGGGAAGGTGGCATTTGAGCAAAGACCTGAAGGAAGTTAGAGAGGAGACTGGGGACAGAACATCCCTGGCTGAAGGGTAGGTAGGGCTGGGTGGAACCTGCCTGGTGATGAGGGGACCAAGCAGCAAGGAGTGGTGAGGCTGGAGTGGGCCATGTGGGGGGAAGAGAAGGTCACTAGGTTAGGAGGTAACAGGCCAGACCACAGGAGGGAAACCGAGCGCGGGTGTCATCCGTACTTGGGTGTGGTTACCGGAAGGGGGAAGGATGTGGGGCTGGTGCAGTACAACCCACGGTGGGGGTCAGCAGGAGGAGGCCTGAGGGAGAGAGTAAGGGTGGCAGTCCCCCTTTCCCTCCTCCAGTCCCCCTCTTCCCCCTGTGCAGTGTCTTGGGTGTCAGCCCCTCCCTGACCAGTCCGTCCTTCTCTGCAGACATCCGGCTGAGGGTGCGAGCGGAGTACTGCGAACATGGGCCAGCCTTGGAGCAGGGTGTGGCATCCCGGCGGCCCCAGGCGCTGGCACGGCAGCTGGACGTGTTTGGGCAGGCCACTGCGGTCCTGCGCTCACGGGACCTGGGCTCTGTGGTCTGTGACATCAAGTTCTCGGAGCTCTCCTACCTGGACGCCTTCTGGGGTGACTACCTGAGTGGTGCCCTGCTGCAGGCCCTGCGGGGCGTGTTCCTGACTGAGGCTCTGCGTGAGGCCGTGGGCCGGGAGGCTGTCCGACTGCTGGTCAGTGTGGACGAGGCCGACTACGAGGCTGGCCGGCGCCGCCTACTGCTGATGGAGGAGGAGGGGGGACGGCGCCCAACTGAGGCCTCCTGATCCTGGATCTGGCAGGACTGACCCCACCTCCTAGCTTCTGGGCTACCTTCTCCTCTGGAGGATGATGACCATATCTACCCCTAAATGCCTGTCACTCCAGCAGCTCTGAGGACTGCGACAGCCAGCCAGGCCCCTTGACATCCTGGCCCCTTGACAGGCCCTCCCACAGGATGTGGGTGCTGAGGCCTAAACCACTTCCAGCTGAGTTTCCTTCCCAACTCTCCCTCTCCACCCCCAGGTGTGTTCCCTCAGCTTCAGGAAGCTGGGGGCTCAGGCATGCTGATCCAAAAGGAAGAGAAGCATGGCCACACATTCACCAAAGGCCCCTTGCACATGTTTCCCTGACCCAGGGCTGTGTGTGCACACACACTGGCCCCCTCTGAAACGTCCCCTGGGCTCCTGCCCTGGCCTGCTCCACTTACTTTGGCCTAAGGGCTTTTCTCTCAGGATCTCTGATTATACCGCCCCCAACCCTGGGCTTCAGCCGCAGCAGTGGGCACGGAGCTGGAGTGCACCCAGGGCATGCTCACCTTGCCCACACATCTCTACAGCCAGCCAGGACTCTGCCCAGCTTCCACACACAGACCTGGCTCTCCACCTTCTCCTGGAGGCTGGACAGACTTGTACACAGATCTGCACCCAGAATGTCACACATGTGTTGTGGCAGCAGCAGACCAAATGAGCTGTGTCCCAGGGGCCAGGACCAGACACCAACTTTCTTCTTAGAAATGGAAGGCAGAGGCTTGGGGCTGATGGGAAAGGCCTTTTACAAATGGCTCCAATAAAACTGCCCTGGATGGGGCATAGGTGGGCATCAGGGCTCCCTAGGACTCTTTCTTTATGGGCTGGAGGGAGGAGTTGATGAGAGCACTACCAATCCTGGAGTTCTGGCCCAGTATTGGGCTGGAAGGTGGGCAGGATGCTGGATCATCTGCTGCCTATTGCCACAGCCTTTCCCTTCTCTTGGCCTGTTTCCTTATCTGTCTAAGGAGGAAACAATGACTTGGAGTCATAAACTCTCCCACCTTCATTTGCACATGCTTTGCTCCTGTATGTCCTTGGGAGTGCTGGTATTTTAAACTAGTTCAGTAAGTTGGGCCAGCTCTCTCTCAGGCTGACAGAACCCAAAGGTTTGGAAACCAAATGGATCAGCAGGCAGTGCTCTCTGCCTAGGACCCCTCTCCAGATGGCTTCCCTTCCCTGACACTTAGGCAGTCACCTTGTCTTAAATCTGACACTCTTGTTCCTCCTGAGGCCGAATGCTTCCTGCTGCCCTGTGGCTACAGCTGAGGTTGTGGCTTCTTACTCTTTCCCCACAGCTTGTTTAAGGGCTTAGGAACTCAAGTTTCTTACACAATACCTGGGGTGTTCCTTCCTGGGGGAGAAGGAGAGCCAGGGTGGGGGTGGAGTGGGCAGGGATTCCCAACCGCTAGCTTTTCCTGGGGGAGAGAATCACACACCTGGGAACCGGTTGTGGACCTCTGATCTGTGTTGATAAAAAGGGATATAGTGGTTAAGTCTAGGAGCTGAGTCCTGCCCAGGAGTCAAGATCTGGTCCAGTTATTAGTTGCTGTGTGATCTTAAGACTATTTCCACTTACCATTTCTGGGAGGAAGCTAAGGTCTGCAGGGCACCTAGACAAGATCTATTTAAATGGGCTCAGAGGGGAAATGAGTTGCCTAAGGAATAGAGCAGCACTGAGATGGAGAGCAGCTTTCCCCTAGTGGAGGCTGTCAGGTTGAGGAGGGAGGTGATGGCTTCCACTACCTTTCAACTTACCTCCCATTAGGGGAACTCTCCTTGGCTTGGGCGAGAGTAGGCTTTCTTTTCACCACCTTCCAAGATTGGAGGCCCTCCTCCTCTGCTTGGGGCTTCCCGCGCTTGGGGCTTCCCGCGCTTGGGGCTGGGAGCTGCTGCTTGTCTTCTCCTCCCCTGGGCTGAATTCCGGCATCCGCCTCTGCCGCTGGCCTTGGGCCTGCCTGTTCCCCTCACCCCCAATTTACGAATGGTGGACCCCGCCACTTTAGTGGACAGCATTTCGGAACCTGGCCCTTCCCCAACCTCCATTCTGTTCCTTGCTGAAGCCCCGCCTCCTACTTCAGCCACGCCCGAGTAGACCATCCCACCCGCGGGCCCCACCTCATTCTTTAGGCCTTTCGCGCGCTGTATTTTCAGCTGGGGGCGCGGTTGGGGGCCCGGGGCGCGGGGGTGCGTCCTTCGTAGCGAGTACCTGCCGGAAATAAGCCTAATCTCGAGGCCGCCGGAGTCTGCGCAGGCGCAGTATGTACCAGGAGTTGATGTTGGCGGGAACTTTGAGGCGATGTCTCGCGCTTTCCAGAGCCTTCCTAAGCGTCTGCGCTGTGGAGCTCACCTGGGCTTGCCAGCCCGCGCTGGGTGTCTGACAGAGTGCTGAGGCCCAGAAGTGGGTCAGACCCAGGCCACGAGGACAACCCAGGGAGATCAAAGAGCTTCAGAAGTGGAGAAATATTCTATGGGGCGGGACAGGGACAGGCTGCAGCCAAGGGAAATAGGGGCCTGTGGGAGCTCAGAGAAAGGCGGAAAATGGTTTCACAGAGAAGAGGAGCCTGGAGCTGGCTCCTGAAGGATGGATAGGAGTTCAACAGAATGACAGAGAGAGGCCATTCTTGTCAGAGAACCGCCCTCGAGGAGGCCTTAGGGAACATTCCTGAACAGGATGTAGAGAGACAGATGGACAGAGATAAAGGTAAGTGGCAATGTAGAATCAGCCACACCCTCATTCAGTCATCAGTCCTCTGCTACCACACTGACCGACACACAGGGACCCTGACAATGACAATATAAGGTGGTAATATGAGGCAAACCCAGTATGCCTGGGACACAGCAGGACACGTTCCACAAGCCCTCCCAAGTGCCAGGCCCTGGGCTGGCTGGCCTTTACTGGGGACCATAAGAGGATGCTAGCCTGGGTGCTTGCACTGGACAGCTCCTGTTCTGCTAAGGGAGCCAGACTGGGACACTGTAGGTCACAGTCCAGAGTGGTCAGTGACTGAAAAAACATCAGAGGCTGGAGGAGCCCACATGACCCTGAGTGAAGAGACCCAGGAAGGCTTCATGGATTGGCAAACTCCCTGTTCATTTTATTAAAAATTACCACCACCACCACCAAGATACTTTTTAATTGTGAACTATTAACATTCAGAAAAGTGCATAAAACACAAATGCAGTTAATAAGCTGTTGTAAAACACTTGTGCCTTCCATAATGAGACAGACATTACCAGCACCCCAGAAGTCTCCCCACTCCCTCTCTGTCATGCACTCCCTCCTGATCATAAGCAAGCCCTCTCTCCCCCTAGTAGGAACACTGTCCTGGCTTTTACAGTAATGGTTCCTTGCTTTTCTTCTGCTTTTTCTAGTTTTATGTCACTCAGTGATTTTATCTCTTTTTGAACTTGATACAAATGGAATCATACAATATGTTTTCTGTTGTGTCTGTTTTCTTTTGTTCAGCATTGTGTTTGTGAGATTCTTCCACATTGTGTTTATTTGTAGCTGACTCATTTTTATTGCTGTATAGTGTTCATTGTATGAATACCTCATAGGTAGCTCATGCATTACACTGTTGATGGACATTGGGTTGTTAGCAGCTTGGAGTTGTAATAAATAATGTTGTTGTGAACACTCCTAAGCATTTTTTTAAAAAACAAATGCTTGCATTTCTGTTGGGATATACCCAGAAGGAGAATTGCTGGACATGGGCAAGAATGTTCAGGTTTGGTGGATACCGCCTAGTTTCCTAAGGCTGCTGTAACAAATTATCATAAACCTGGTGGGTTAACACAACAGAAATGTATTCTCTCACAGTTCTGGGGGCCAGAAATCTAAAATTAGTTTCACTGGGCCCAAGCCTAGGTTTTTCGCAGCCCCACTCTAGGCGAGAATCTGTTCCTTGCTTCTTCCAGCTTCTGGTGGCTGCTAGCATCCCTTGGTTTGTGGCTACATCACTCCAGTTTCTACCTCTGTGGTTCACATTGTCTTCTCTTCTGTCAGTGTCAAATATCCCTTTGCCTCTCTCTTACAAGGAATCATGTGATTGCATTTAGGGGTCACCCAGATAATCCAGGATAGTCTCCTCATCTCAAAATCTTTACTTTAATCACATCTGCAATGTCCTTTTTGCCACATAAAATAGCGTTTACAGATTCCAGGGATTAAGCCATGGACATCTTTTGGGGGACATTTTTCAGCCTACTACACTGACAAACCACTTTTCTAAGGTGTTTATAAGAGTTTATTCTCCCACTCGCACTGAATGAGCGTTTTCTTTGCCTCACGTCCTTGCCAGTATCTGGTATTGTCAGATGCTTTTAATTTTGCCAAGCTGATAGACATGTGGTAGTATATCATTGTGGTTTATCTTTCTTCTCCCTGGTGGTTAATTTCTGCTCATTCTTGAAGGAAGAGTGAGAAGTCTTTGGCTGGATAGAATGGTCAAGGGTATTCCAGACAGGTGGAATAGCACGTATGAAGGCCTTAGGAAACACTTGTTTAAACTGAGTAAGAGGTTTTTGTTGTTGTTGTTTGGGTTTTTTTTTTAAGCATTAGGTTATTAAATGTAAAGAGT